TGAGGTTTCCAAATAAGTAAAAGAAGGCGTGGCAAGTAATGAGCTTTCCCAGGTGAAATGCGACAATCCAGTGCATATGCCATCTTATTATCATCAAGTAATTAGCTGTTCCAGGTAAAATGCGACCATGCGGTAATAGCATGTGGTTGCAGATCGCATGGCCGGCAGGGGTGTGCTCCCGGTTTTGCTAAATAGTGCAGCTGCACCTTTTAGACTTTAGGTTTATTTAGTTATTTACCATTAGGGCTAAGTTATTTACCATTAGACCTAAATTCAGTTTACAATATTGACTTGTATGAGTCAAGTAATGAATTTAAGGTTTGGCAATCAAGTATAAAGTTTAAACTAGTGGACTGCGGGGGTTTTTCCACTGTTGCCTGGATCAATGAAACACTTGGACAGTCTTCATGTGCCAGTTAGTGAAGTTAGTTAAGGATGTGAAGTTACACATAACTCTATTCTCAGCATGGCTTATATATCCAATAGCTTAGTGGGCTGATGCAATAGCTAGGTGGACCCATAAGAGCACATTCTTGTTGAGAAGTTCTTATATAATGACCTTTGAATTGTAGCCAGTTAACTTCGCATAATTTGTATCCCTTACTACAAAAAAGTGGGCCTTACCGTGTGGGGAGGTTGCTAAAGCAATAAAGAACTTGTTCATCAGCCATATCTTGATACAAATAAATCAAGTTAAAAATTCATCATACACATCGATATAAATAAAACATAATAGAGAGTAAAGATACATATAGAGTTCAGAACCATGCAAATATAGCTATAATAGAGAGTAAAGATACATACAAAATTTGTTTATTTTTTAAATAATCTAAGAATTATTCATCTTCATGCCAAGTTGCCAACAATACAAGCTTCTGGCATTCTTTGTGACAAGAGTGCCCCAAAAGCTAAAAGGCAAGTTCTATAGGACGGCGGTTCGATCCGTAATGTTGTATGGCGCTGAGTGTTGGCCGACTAAAAGGCGACATGTTCAACAGTTAGGTGTGGCGGAGATGCACATGTTGAGATGGATGTGTGGCCACGCAAGGAAGGACCGAGTCCGGAATGATGATATACGAGATAGAGTTGGGTAGGGCCGATTGAAGAGAAGCTTGTCCAACATCGTCTGAGATGGTTTGGGCACATTCAGCGCAAGCCTCCAGAAGCGTCAGTGCATAGTGTACGGCTAAAGCGTGTTGATAATGTCAAGAGAGGTCGGGGTAGACCGAACTTGACACGGGAGGAATCCGTAAAGAGGGATCTCAAGGACTGGAGTATCAACAGAGAACTAGTCATGTACAGGGGTGCGTGGAAGCTTGCTATCCATGTGCCAGAACCATGAGTTGGTTGCAAGATCTTATGGGTTTCACCTCTAGTCTACCCCAACTTGTTTGGGACTAAAGGCTTTGTTGTTGTTGTTGTTTGTTGCCAAGTTGCCAACAATAGAAATAGTTACCAACTGGTATAAAAAGATAAAATCCATCTTCACTAGTTGGATTGCTCGGGATCGTCACCATTAGGTTCCCCACGAGCAACTGTACCCGTAGACATAGAATGTTTAGGTGTTAGCTCCCAGTGTCAAATGTGTGTTTAGCTTATATTGCATTGCATCTGTGTAGAGCAGAGACATGATTGATGAAGTACGTGGCGGTTACCTATGTGGGCTCTGGCCGCGCACTCCCTGATCCTGGCCATCCTACTCATGTGACGTCATTGGGCTTGTTCCCACCAGCACCATCGCTTGGCCGACGCCACACGTTGTCCCTGCGTTCGAAACCTCCCCAATTGATACTGTGCCATGACCGCCCAACGGTTCCACCATGCAAATTGTGCCGGTGCCGAGGCTGGCTGCCCATGATGGAAACGTTGGGTGGTTGTGGCACAATGTGCATCGGGGAGGCGTCAAACATAGGCACATCGTGTGGCGGGGCCGGCCGGTGGCAAACAAGGCCGAGGCACAAGTCGCATGATGAGGATAACCAGGATCATGGAGGTTGCCAGAAGAGCCCGCTTGGACACCCTCCCGGCATCCCGCCTATAATCCAAAGGTTATTATGCTTGTAAGATTTTCCTATATAAGAATTGCTTGACAAGAATATGATCTGTACGAAAAAATTCTGCTAAGCATTCATCATGCTTATTTTCTGCTTGCGGTCAGTATGATTTTACAAAGAGCATTTGTGCCTTTTTATCTGCTTCAGCTAAAAAAACATTTGTTCAGTATTAACAGCATGATTTTTTGTGTGTTAATTAGAGAGGTAATTCAAGTCAGCTATGATGTCTGAAGGGATTGTGTTTCCTTGATAGAGGCCACAAGTAGTTCAGCCAGCAACGAAGTTGAATTTGAGGTTTCCTCGTGCAAGGGTATGTGCAAGGGTATTAATCTGACATCCACAAGGAAAATGTATTAATCTTGTGCAAAGGTATCAATATGACTTGTGTAAGGAAAATCTATTAATCTGTGTGTTGTTTCCTTGCTACATTACTTAAGTTGTATATATCGTGCCTCCATGCCAGAGTCCTACCAGTAGATTGTATCTTGTTGATCCCATATTGGCAGAGGATTATGTGCACACTAGCGTAGTGCCCGTGCGTTTGCTATTGAACCGCAAAAACCGATTGCAGTTGTATTTGATTAGTACTCCCTCCGCTCCTAAATATAAGTCTTTGTAGAGATTCCACTATGGACTACGTATGAAGCAAAATGAGTGAATCTACACTCTAAAATGCATCTATATACATCCGTATGTGGTCCATAGTAGAATCTCTAAGACTTATATTTAGGAACGGAGGGAGTAGTATACAACAGCCAATGCACTTGTTGCTTGACATCATAAAAAGCAATACACCATAACCATAAAAGCACTAAGAACACCAAGTATCAACCAATGGCACGTGTCATGGCTGGATTCTGAAATTTGAAAGTTAGGATGACGGGCATAGGGAGGAGGGGTGGCCGGGAGACGGGGATTGGGGAGCAGGGGTTGCCGGGAAAAAAAATCATCGACAAATTGACTGGTTGGTTTGTGTTGGCATTGTTAAAAAAAATCTTCCGATTCGGCGATTAATCTTCCGATTTATCGTCTATCTCAAGTGGTGGTGATCGACTCCACGAATAGCCTGAACCTGAGAAATGTAGATCTGCAAACGGGAACTTCCTGTTGTCTTGAATCAGGTCTGCTGCTCCAGCTCCCCTCTTTTGTTGCTTTCGGCTAAGCATCTTTCGGCGGCGGAAAGAAGGCGACTAGTTGCTTCTAGCGAAGCAGCGAGTTCATGGGCAAGTGAATGAATGAGCAGCGAGTGAAGTGCAACAGTGGTAAGTAAGGCTCGCCATGTTTCTAAAAGGAGTGACCATCTTTTCTTCCCTCAGGGGTTGACCGATAAAATTATGCCTTATCTTCACCATTTATCTTTTATAAGCTGATTTATCGCTCTGACAAGCGATTTATCGTGATTCTACCGATAAATCGGACCTATTCATAGCACTATGCTTGCAAAAAATATGTTTATGTGTGTTTTGTGGATCTTGTTACACAATATGTACTGTTGTCTTATTTTGTTTGTCATTATATGAGGATTTAAATGCTATGAATTCAGGTAACACTTCGGTCCAATATTGTTTTGGTGTTGAATTTAGTGTTGGGAACCTTGGATTTGCAAAAAATATTTGATTAATTGTCGACTGATAAAATCGATTAATCGGTCAATTTTTGATTAATCTCTAATCCCCAGCTGACCGAGACGATAACCATAAGCGATATCCTCAACATCTCGCAGTAAAAGAAATCATGTACCATTGAGTAAAAGAAATCATGTACCATTGAGTTGTCTATAGCAGCAAATGAGGGGTTCGAGACTCCACAATTGCATTACTTGTTTTTGTTTTGTTTATATATTTTTAAATCAAAAGAGGTCTGGTGGCGTTGACCTCACCAACAACTTGAATTGCAGCTCTCTCAGATTATAAAGTTTTGACAGGAGTTCGTTAACTATGTGCAGGTATGCGCAATGTGTAGCGCAGAAGTTTCTACCTCAACA